TCAAGGAATGCTCAGTATACGTGCGCTGCATTCTCACGACAGAATTTAAGAGCTGCTCCTGTGACAGGCCGGACCCTGAGATACACACAGGCCCGCGTCAGGCTGCCAGTCTCCGAAAGCTGTTCCTGATCTGGTTTTGCTCATTGAAGTATCATAAACTTTTTTATTTTATTATTATTTTTTTCTAGAGAGAGAGATTTTTGCTAAAAGGCATGTGTGTTTACTGGAGAAACAGAGAGATGGCTAGAGGGAAAGTGAGAAACCAGACCCCAGGAGGATAGTCATGCCACAATCCCTTCTCCTTTATTCTCCTCCCGGGATTTTGGGCACGCACACACATGCACCTGGTGTGAGTTTCAAGCCTCGGTATCCAGGACTTGAACCACGGTTGGCCATGTGGGAGTTCGGCACCTTAACTGCTATGCCACCTGCTGGCCCCCGATTTTTCATTGTTTAAGTTGCCAGAGGACATGTGCCCTTGCCAGAGAGAAAGAGAGAGGGAGAAGGTCTCCCCAATGGGGTGTGGTCACACCACAGTCCCTTCTCCTGCATTTCTCCACCCTGTTGGGATTTGGGATATGACAGCGCACGCACCCAGCACGATGTTCACGCCAGTGGGTTCCGGCTCCCTTCACCTCTTCCTGGAGGCGGCCGAGGGTGTCGGAATCCTGACAGTGACGGTCAGGTAGGGACCACCAGCCGTGATTTCTGTGTGTTACAACAACGTTAGCTCCTCTAATCAGAGTTCCATGCACACTCGGCGGCGCTCAGAAGTGTTGTGAGCTACTCACATTTTATCCGACGTGCTCCGTTCAAGCAGCTCCAGCACCACGCTTCCCTGGCTGCGAGCCTGCAGTTGGGCCAGGACCTTGCTGCAGTGCGGGTGCTTCTCAGTGCGGCCCAGGGGAGCAGAGGGCTCTGCGCTCCCAACGAGCTCCCTGGCCCTGTGCTGCTGCCAACGGCCCCTGGCCACAATCCGAGGGGCTGAAGGTAACAGGTTTTGTAAGGAAACATTCATCATCACCCTCCAGTTCCTTCTTATTAAGGAATCATTGATAAGCCTCAGCTGGCGGGTCCGGCCTGCCTCCGCTCCTGTCTTCCGGCCTGTGTGGGCATGTCTGGTCACAGCAGAACCCTGTGACCCACGCGAGGCGTCCTCAGTGTCAGCTTGCTGCCCTGGTTCTGGCCACGGCATTCTGTGCCGCTTCAGATGCCTTTGTTTTGCTGCTGCTTACTGGTGTCCTTACAAGAGGATGGACGGTGGCCGTGGTGAGGCAGACACAGCGAGGACACCACGTGACAGCAGAGGCAGAGCCTGGAGTGATGGCCATCGTCAGAGGCTGGGAAGAGGTGGGAAGATTCTAGCCGGCGTCTCGGAGGGACTCCGCATGGTCCTGTGGATGCTTTGCCTTCCGACGTCCAGACTGCGACATGCCATTGCTGTTCCCAACTCCTTTCCCACCGCACTGGACTACCTGGGGTCCTGCGGGTGGCATGCATGCTGCATATTGCTGTGGGCGTGCTGCACGTGCTCTTCCATGTTCTCTCCCCCCATGCCAGTTAATCCTCACTGGTCACTGCATGTGATCTGTGGGCGACAGTGTCAGACGGTGCTCCCGGCTTCTCTCTTGGCACGCTGTGTTCCCTCTGTGGTCATGTCAGTCTTGTCAACTCACCCTTACACTTCAGGAACCTTTTTGGAAAGAAACCCTGTTTCTCTGAGCTTTTAGCTCTAGAGTCTGGACCCATTCATGGTACATTAAAAACAAAACATTATTAATTAATTAATTCATTCATTTTAAGTTGACCAGAGAGGGACAGAGTAAGAGAGAGGGAGAGAGTTAAAGTGAGAAAGCAAACCACCAGCTTTAGGACTTGAACCGCGGTTGGGCATGTGGGAGTCCAGCGCCCTTAACCATCGCACCACCTGCCAGCCCCCATGGTACATAGTAAGAGCTCAATCAATACTTATCAAATGAAGGAATGAATGACTTACTAATGTGGATCATGTGACCAGCATAAAGACGGCAAATAAATAGGAGGTGGGTTTGGTCTTTAGATGAGAGGATATTAGGAAGGTAAGAGATGAAGCTACGGGGACAAAGGGTCAGAGGCTTCTCTTCTCCCAGAATGCACTGGGGCCAGCAGACCAGATGTCCCTACCCTCACGCTTTACCTCCTCGGCCAGGGGAACGCATCTGCTGCTGAGAAGGCACTGCTGACTTCAGCGTGGCCGTTTCAAAGATGATGTGAAAAACAAAGGAGGAGCCAGGAAGGGAGAAACCATTGCTTTCTGGTTTTCTTTTCACAGTACATGTAAAAAGTGAACTAAAGTACTCCAACAGAAGAGGGGGGGAAATCCTTTAAAAAATGCAGCAGCTTCCTGGCCTAAAGCTTCACAAATATTTCATATTTAGAATTTCCTATGTTTAGTTAGGTGCATGTTCTGAATCAAAGGAGTTTCTATTATACTTTGTCCTGCAAGTTTAAAAAAAAAAAGAGAGAAACGGATATATATTTTAATGACAATGTCCCTCTTCTGTCTTATCTATTTAGGAAGAGTGTACGGCTGCTAGTGACACTCACACACTGGTTAATGAAACACGGTTACGCAAGAAATCAAGGAACGCCCGTGCGAGAACAGCCTGGCGTTAGGGAGAACGTTTTGCTGCACCTCGGCCGGCCAGCGGATTCACTCTGGATCTGGTTTGTTTTCAGAACTGGGGAGGACTTGGCAGACGCTGAGCCCAGAACCCACACTCACTCGCAGTGTTACTGGTTCAGTCCTCGAGGCCAGTAACACTTCCAGCCCCAGGGAAAGCTCGGTTCCAAACTTTTCCATCATTCCACAAGGGAGTTCTTGTTGTACAAGGTTTTGGCTGTTTCTGAAGCTTTCTCTCATTTTGTCTTTTCAGACGCATTTTGTGGGGTTGAGCGGGGCAGGTTTCCCGCCCCCTTCCCCCAGCTGTTTCTGGTTCTCAGGATGTACACCTGTGAAGCGGGGTCACTTGGGAGAAATGCCTGAGTTTTATTTAGAGCAAGAAGAATGTGATCTCACATGCAAATGCTTAAAATGGTGCTTTTGTTCTGCAGAACCAACTGGAAGTCCTGCTAGGACACAACGTGCAGGGACTATAAGGAGACCATTTTAAGGTAAAAGTGATCTGCCCATTAAACACTTCTGGAGCGTCTACTCCGACTCCTCAACCTAGCCTAGGTGCTCACAGCACAGGCGTCGGGGGAAGAAAGATCTCTGCTGTAGTTGGGGGAGACGGTGAAAGACGAACACTGAAAAACAATAACTAAGAGGTAAATACATAGTTCGTTAGAGACAGTGTCCTGGAACTTGAAAGATCAATTCATACACGACGGGGCTGGAGAGTGGCACACTGCAGCTCCCCGCTCTGGGAAGGGGTGTCCAGGGGAGGTTCAGGGATCCTGTCTGAAGAGCTTCCTGCAGGCTCAGGCGCTTGAGCCATGGTGCACATCTGGGTGAGGCTGGGAGTGGACTGTGGTGTGAAGGCCCTGCTGGGAATACCTCGCTCTCCTTCTCTCTCTCTTGCTCATGGAAGCTATAAACAAATAAACAGTTACATTAACTGAGATGCCCGTTCTTCACGAGAGTGGTCTCCTGGCGTGAGTGTGCAAAGTCTCAGACTAACTCGTAAGTGCTCAGTAATCGTAGCTCCGGTTCTTTCCCT